TCATCTTTCAGCACGGGCACCACTTCAACTGTTTCAGCTATGACATTAATGCATACTCTGATCTATTACACCGTTAGTATCCCTCTCCTTTCTCCCCTAAATACCCTTGAAATCCTGTCAGTCCCTTTGTAGGCTAAAGGTAAACAACAGTGTTTAAATAACAGGTCTTCGCAAAGGCTCAGACCACATATACATGCACAGACAGGCTTCCACGGCAAGTCAGAACCACAACTCTAACTGCTGGGTAACTGCTGGGTAATGTCCAGCCAACTGAAATATCCTCATTAAAGGAGCGAACTGTAGTTCAGTAGAAATTGTTACTCTCCCTGGTAAGCTGTGACCATAAAATGTAAACTACGTGCCCGTTTTTACCCAGTCTCCCCCTCCTACAGCTCTTTTCCCTCCCCTTTCCTTCCAGATTAACACACAGCTTGCATCAGACTGGCCTTTGGGCAAATCCCCTCCCCTAAGGTTTCCGTCTCAGAGAAGTATGCGCATTTGGTTTTTACTCATCGCCCTCGGCAGAAGTAGTTCAGAATACATCAGACGTTGTTTTGAGACCGCACTGCAACACTGCTGGAGCTACTGTTTCTTTCAAGATAACTAATACTGCTTCCCTGAGAACAGCTAATAAAAACAACCTAGAAACAAACAAGAAATTATTACCACCTCATTAAAACTTGTCTTCATTTCTATAGCTTCATGAAAGCACAGCCACACCTCTGTTCAAGTACTGCTGCAATAAGCTGCCAGTTACAGAGAACTCTCAAAGTAGTTCATTTCTTGGTTTCCAAGCAAAATCTGATACAAAAGTGAGCTACCTAAAAGGCTGCTTTAAGAATTAAAACTCTAGGTGCCATTTTTAAGTTTTTCATTCCCAGGTATTCTATAACATAAGCATTCAAACAAGTCTCTTACAGTGAGGTAGGCAATTACTCCCTGTTTCATAATTATAGAACACAAGCCTAAATGTAAGTACTAATAAAAATATGGGGGTTTTCCTCATCTTTTAGTTCAAATTACTGTTCTTCCTTTAACACATCTGCAAAGAGTATTCACACATAAATCTGTTCTGTATGAAACGAGTCATTGTACACTGAAAGCCCCTCTGGAAGCTTCCATTACAAAGTGAGTATTTTCCTTGTGTCATACTATGACTACACAAGAAGAATCAGTAATCCAGTGGTCAACAAACCAACTGCCTCCTCCTAACACCATTTCCAGGAAGCCACCTTTCCCCCCTCAAAAAAAAAAAAAAAAAAAAAAAAGCCTACGACCTCTAGGACTCAAGAATCCCGTTCTTTATATTAGTATGCACAGAACTAGGGTGGCACAATGCTCAGCTGACAGCCACCTTCAGACACTCAAAAAAGGGGAGCTGCTGAAACTGAGCTTATGTCCTAAAAGGTAAACTCAAATGAGACTCCGGACTTTTGAAAGCTTCACACTGTGTCATTCTTAATTACTGCCTTGTCTCTTTCTTTCCTGGTATCCTCTATATAACCTACAAAGGAAAAATGTAGTGCTATTAGATGCTTCCAATCCTGTTTTTCTACCCCTCCTCCCACAACATAGGGATGCCCCGCAGGCTGTATATGCAACCAATATGGACTACTTAGAGTAACTCCCAAGGCCCCAGTCAGTTCTTACGTAACTGGACTCCACCTCACCATACTACTTATGTAACACATATTAAGGACCACCTATTATACAGGAATCTTCTATATTAGTCATACACTGTTACTTTCATTCCAGTAGTTCTCAAATACCATTCACGAAATATTCAAGCTTTGTCCCCTACCAGCTTACTACTGGGGAAGTAAAAAGAAAAAAAAATCTTATCTATCTGGGGACAAACTAACAACAGAAAAAGTGAAACATTTTTAAATAGAATAAACCTCCACCCTTAAAGCATCAGCAATTTTAACTGTTAATTTGTTCATTGGGTTAGATGCAGTGGCTAAAATTTACACCGTGGCATACAAGAACAAGACATGGGAACTGGCACTGCACGGCTTTCAAAGCTCAAGAACCTCACCCAAACAGTAAGACTTGCATTCCTTAAAGAAAAGCATTAGGATTGGTAAACATACATTTTTCACTTCCCCTGCATCAAAATATTTAAAAAATAGAAGACCCAGAAAATATATTTGCCAATCTTCCAAGCCTACCCAGACTTGTGTAACGAGTTCATTTGCCTATGAACCTCAGAAAATACAACATGGGGAGTCCTCACAATATTCGCAAACCACAGTTTTCATCTGCACTAAGTATATACATCAATTCCTGTGTTATAGAAACAGGCCTCTGTGACCTGACTTCGGAATACGCACATCGCCCCGCAGAAAAGCTGCTCAACACCCTACAACAGGATCCAACAACACACAAATAAAAGAACAGCGATCCACTTTTCCTGTTCAAACAGAATAAAGTCATGAACACCTCGCAGATTCTCCCTTGGCCCCCCCGCCCAGTACTCCCGGCAGAGCAACAATGGAGCAGCCACGACCTCCTCGTCAGAAGAACAACTCCGCATAGCCTGTGCGTTTTCCTCAGCGGCTTTAATGAGGTCATTTAAACATCGCTTAAACCGACTGTTTCGGTAGGAACCACTCCGTGACCCCGGGAGCCTGACCGGGAGCAGAGTGCCCTCGCACCGGGCGGGCACCACCGTGAGCGCACCCGGCTCCCACGCCCGGGCGGAGCCAGCAGGCGTCCAGGGGGAACTTTCCCTGGCGGTGGGTAAAGCCTTGCGCAGAGAGGGGGCGGAATGGAAAGCTTCCCCCGAGAGCAGCTACACCCTGGAGGTGGGTGGAGAGTAAGGAGAGAAGCGAGAACCTTCCTCGGCAGCAGCTACACCCTCGTGCACAAGGCTGATGGGGGAAGGGAACCAGCGCGGGACCGACGGCGTGGTGCGGGAGGAGGGGGGGAAGCCCGGGCTGTCCCGGGCAGCCGCCGCCGCCTAAGCCAGCTTGGTCCGCAGCCAAACCCCACAGGAATGCAACGCGGTCACATGACCTCCGGCGGACGTGCAACTCCCTTCCCTCTCCAGGGACACCCTGCGCCATCTTGTACTGACGCAGTTACAAAGGCAGACACGAGTTGCTCCCCTCTCGCTCTTCCCCCGCTCCTCTCCGCACAGCCCCAGCACTGTTTGGGAAGAAGCCCAGGCCTGGTTCTCCTTTCCTTTTCCACCAGCTCTTCGCGGACGCCTTGCCCGCGGAGTTCCTCCCTGGCGCTGGGATCATGGCGCCCGTTTTCTCCCTTTGCCTCCCCCGGCAGCTCCCGACCCTGCCCAGCTGCGGCTGCCCCCTGCTGCAGGATGATTGTCAGCGCCAGCCAATCAGGGCGCGCCGGGCCACCCCAGCCGCCCGGCCATTGGCTGCCGCGCCCGCTCCCGCCCCCTCCTGACTCGAGCTCCGCCGCGGTTCGCTGCGGAGCCGCAGCCAAGGCACAAGTGCGGGGAGGGGAAGAGGAGGGGAAGAGGAGAAAAAAAAAAAAAGGCAACCCTACACAAAAAACCGACAACCAAACCCACCAAGACGCCAGCCGCCATTTCGCGCAACAACAGGCAGAACCCGAGCGAGCAGCCCCAGCCAAGCGCCCTAAGGAGAGAGAGAGAGAGAGAAAGAAACAAGAGACACACGCACAGAAGAGTTAGACAGGAAAAAATACCCATAGACTCCGCCATGATCACAAGACGTTTAATCGCCCCCCCTCCTCCCTTAGACTTAATGCCCCATTACAGCCGCCTCCTCTGCGTCCAACCAGCTAGCAGATCCCTTCACCTCGGCTCCCTCCTGCCGCAGCAGCAGCTGTTTAGAGCCCCAAACTCTCTGTGCTCAAGGTGTGGGGGGACGCTAGTCTATGGCGCTGCTGCTAACTGCTTCTCCAGTCACCCGAATGTTGCGGCTCCATCGAGGCAGGGTAAGAGCTGCCAGCCCAGCTTTTATCTGGTGCCCCGAGTTTGCGCACTGAAGGAGGCTCGCTCAGCCCCTGGTGGGCGTCGAATGAAACCCCAGCCGCCGCCTCCCCTCCCTCAATCAGCCGTATCGCTGGAGGGGCTGAAGTCGGGCAGGGGAGACAGGGCGGCGTGCGGGCAGAGCGGGGACCTGGGAGGAGATATGGTGGCAGGAAGAAGGGCTTGGTATAAATGGCAGAAGCTGCATCTGCCCCGAAACGCTGAGCGAGCTCCTGTCTTTGCCAGCGCAGCTGGTCCGGATGGAAGCACGCCATTCCTGCTCCTGAGCGCCGTTCCCTAAAGGGAAAACGAGGCTCGTTCGCTGCTCGTCTCGTTCCCCGCAAAACGCGTTGTGCTGTCCCACTTGCTTTCAGGAAAGAAGCTCTCTCCCACTTGCCTTATATATGACTCCTAAACGCTTCGGGGAAGATTCTCAGCCTCGAGTGTCTTACTGAGAGATTCAGTCAAAACCTCCTGAGCGGGTCTCGGCCAAAGCTCCCGCTCTTTGCTCGCCCCCTTCTTCCCCGCCCCTCAGTAAGTTCCTCTGCGTGTGTGAGATCCGGCGGGTCTGTCCGGCTTTTCGCGCAGCTTGTGGCGAAAATGTGCTCAGTTTAAGGTTCACAAAGAACATGCATGCCGAGAGCATCGACGGTCGTGAGGAAGAAGCCGGAGGTCGGGGTGGGGGAGAGCGGCCGAGGAGGGAGTTTTGGCATTCGTTCATCGGAGGATGCAGCTCTGACTCAGACATCCTCGCTCCCGCCCGCGCTCGGCCCCACAACAGCCGCGAACGGAGCCCCCGCCCCTCCCGCGCGCGGCTGCGACCGCCGGCTGCGGCGGATCACCGCCCCCGGCGCCAGCCCCCGCTGCAGCCACCCCTCCTCCGCTGCCCTATCTTCCCTCCTAACACGGCCCCCCTGCCAGCCCCCTGCCGACTAGTTCTGGTTGCCGCCGGCCGCGCCCAACCCCCCGAGCTGTTCACCGTTGTTTGTAAAATGGACACTGGAGGGCCTCGGGCGGGAAGAGGGCTCGCTCCGGGCCCGTAAGTAAAATGGCGGCTGTTTGGCTTCGCCTTGGTAACCCTGCCCCTGTCAGGCGGGGCGGGTGAGCCCCGTGCAGGGGGAGGGAGGGGAGAGCGGACGCCATTTTCCCAGAGAGAGGCAGTGACATAGAAGGGAGCGTAGGAGGCTGGAGGGAGGGAGGCACGGGAGCAGCGGCGGCAGCAGCGGGGTTTGTACACAGGTCCCAGGGCAAGGGCGCCTCTGAGCTGGTCCCTGTAGGGTTCTGCGCACTGAGCTAGGTTTGGGGGGAGGGGGGGTCTCCTCTTTCCCTTTTCTTTCTTTTACTAGAGCCTGCTGAGGGCTGAGTCCTGTCTAGGGTAGGGATATCCGCAGTGGGGCTGTTGCATTGTTTTGGTTGGGATAGAGAAGGGGCTCAGCTGAGGGGTCCTGCTGCCTGGCCTGTGACCATTACAGGTGAGTCTTTGGTTATTATCAGCATATTCTGCTGTGGGTGCTTTGGGGGAGGGGGGGGTGGCAGAAATGGAATGAAATGCGACGGGAACGTCTCATTACCCTCGGTGCGAGTATAACTCCTTCCCACCATGAAATGCGTTTAATTTCTGTTTAAGTTGCCTTGAATTTGCTTTTCCTTTTGTGGGGGTTTGGTTAAAAAATGGCAGGCTGTCGCTATATCTTGTGAATATGGCGGGTTACTGTAACTGGAGGAGCTGAGGAGAATTTTTTGGCAGTTACGCCAGATTTATGCATTATGCTTGGAAAATGAGCCAAAAGGAGCTATTATGTGACAACATAGGCTTCCTTGGGCTGGCGGATTTCAGAACGGGTTTGTGCCTTATTGGGACTGCGTATTGAGTTTTACGAAGCTTGGGGAAGCCTATTCTTTTCCTCCATCCTGTATATTTTTGCTTTGTGGTACTAAAATGGCTCGTTATAGGCCTAATCTCTCTGCCTTCCACACCCCCGCCTCCCTGCCTCCCTCCCTGTTAATATCTCCGCTTCGAGGTGTAACCTGGACAAACGGAGAGCAGTCCCCAGGAGTTTCTGTGCCAATTTAAAAGGGGATCATTCTCCCCACCCCCTTTCCCCAGGCTGTAAGTAGTTGCACTGGTGCATCCCTTTCTTGCTTTAGTTTCTGCAGCCGGTGTTCGTGTTCCCTGGGTGGCATATTTCAGTCTCTCTCTTGAAGCGATAAGTGTTGGTGGGTTAGGCCCTATTGCTGCAGACATAGGGGAGGAAAAACAAACGGTTCACTGTGTAATACTAAATAGGGTAGAGAAACATAATATAGCCTGATTATAAAGGTCCTGTATTCCCCTATACTCGGCCATTAGGGAATGTGCGGTGTTTGAAAGCCCTGAGGTCCCCTGAAATGGTACATACTACGTGTCGTAGAAAGCAGAAGTTCAGTGCTGCATCTAGATTTAGGAATGTTTTAATCTGTTTATTTACACTACCTTAAAAGAATAATAGTGAAGCGTTTTTGTTACTCAGGGCTCAGATCGGTGAAAAGAAAGAGATATGCGTGGCTTCAGTTACAATGCATGATTAATTGATAATCATCGCTATACTTTTAAAGTTACTTTTAAAAAAATGTGGAGCAAATTTTTTAATTTCCCTCTTTTGTCCTTTAGAGATTCTAAAAATGGCGGCCTCAGGCTGATGTTGTGGTAATCTAATCAGCTCGGGTCCTCCACACCCCATGCAGTGCGTTTGTCTGCAGCATATTAGAGTCTTACTATGTTTTAATGAAAAGGCTGTTCCCTTCAAATAACGTACAAAACATCTCTTGACTTTACTACGATTTAAAAATGCTGTGTTCCAGCTGATTAATTTTATTGGTTATGTGTGTGAAAGGCAAGTGAACGAGACCACTCTGTTCGGGGAGAAGGGGGGTGGAAAGAGGCAACAGACTCAAGCAGCTCCTTCGAGGGGTGTGTATATGTTGCTGTAAGGTAATATGTATGTCAGTTTAATAATTTGGAAAAGCCCCTACGTTTGTGATAGACACTGTACATCTGTCCGTCCTGTTAACGACACAAAATCAGTAATATTTATCAACACAAGTAGTGGATTAAGATCACTAAGCTAAATTCTTTGTGGAAGCACATTTGTGAACGTCATGTTCACCTTCCAGGAAACACCTTCGCTGGACATCAGTGTAGTAATTCCATGTATTCCTAGTGTGAGGATACAAAATGAACTTAATACTTAAAGAAATAATGCATACTGGATTATAACCTGTTACTTTATTAAGAAGCGAAATTTCTTTTGCCATGTAATCTTACCATTACGTTTTTTCTTCAATTTATTTTGTGTATTGCTGTGTAAATTGTGTATGTGGTAATACACATTCAAATGTTGAGAGAAGGTGCAGTTCGTAAGCTCTAATTTTTTTCCTAAATGAAATATGAACCTTTTAGTATCACCACTATAAATATGTTTGAGTGGGGGGAAGGGAGGTCACAAGGATTTATTATGTGGTAGTTGGTGTAGTGTACTCTGATACATACTATGGAGGCTGCAACTGTATGTTTTAAAAAACAATAAAAAAAATTTTCACTTTTTTTTAATGCGTATCTTTAATCTCATCCTTAACTTAATGAGATATGAATTCCTATTCCAATATAGCTTTAGAACCTTCTGGATTTAAGCAATCAAAAGTGAGGCATTGAAATGGAAAAACTGTTTTCAATCTCTGAAAAATTTTAATTTAGATACCATTTAGAAGCACTGATGTGTGGTTTAAAGTGTACCTAAAGTTGAACAGTAAGATAATTAGACTTCCAGGGTGTTATTAATGCATGCCTTTAGTGTGTTTTGAGGCCAAAGTCTAAGGGATTTTGTTAATTCTCCAGTAATGTATGCTCATATCAGTTTTATTTATAAAGATATGATTTTTTTTTTCATAAACCATGTCTTACTCTGTGTGTTTAAAAATACATTTATAAAAGTCCAAAGAGTGTATTGGCCTTTATGGAAACCTTTTGCCTTTTTATTTCCTCTCCCTAGGTTGAAAACTCCTGTTCTTGATTTTTTTCTGGTATTATGACCTAGAGGGCTATACAGCTCTGCAGCTCTTCATGGCCTCAGTCATGTTCTCAAGCAGACATCTAATTCACAATTAGGAGAAAAGAATTTTGTACACTTTACAGAAAGTGATGGGGGAGTAATGAAATAAAACCAAAAATACTAATTTTCAAATTTTACAGCTTATTTTATAGATTGCCAAATTTTATGCACTATAAACCTCTTGGGATTTATAGAGATCTTCAGAGTTTTCCTGTGTGAGTTTTAATGAGTCAGTTTGCCTTCGTGACTCAGTTTCTCCATTTGTAGAGACAACACTACAAAACAAATTCTACTTTATTTTGTACTCCACTGATGTTTCTATGTGTATATTCATAAAGAATGACATACTCTACCTGCAAAACTAATGCAAACTTCTTGAAAGAGGGAAGGTTTGAAATCTAAATTTCATTTTTTTTCAAGACAGACTTCTGCTTGACAAACATTGTGTTACAAATGCAGTAATATGGACTAGAGTTATCAAACCATTTATGTATCGTGAAGCTTTTCATATCTGAAGGAAAAGTTTGCTTATCTTTCACTTAGCCTTTTGGGTGAGATTTTTTTACCATCTGGGAAATTCCAGAGGAGAAATAATACTGACTCTTTAGACTAAATCTGGGGAAAGTTTCTCTTAGAGTAACCTCTTTAGGTTACTTTGAGGTAATGCAGCTCCTAATTTCCTCTTGGGCAGTTTCAGCACACACCACTGTTAATATTGTGTTGGAAAGCAACAGAAATCCAGAAATCGGTGTGTCACTTAAGGCTGTCGTGGTTCTCCAGGTCTGATCTCGGTTTGATTTAAGGACAGTCTTAATTTTGCATGCATGCTAATACTAATTTTAGTAAGGACTATTTGTGGGACTGATTTAGGAGTGGTGTATGTAATTGTGAAATCTTAGTATTATTGTAACCAGATTAATGTAAGTGAAGGTTTAATGAAAGTATTTTGCTGTTGTCATGTGACATTTTGATAAAATCTGGGGGAGGGGATGTAGATGAGTGAAGATATAAAATAGAACCCGGTTTAGATTTCTGGAGTGATCCTAAAGAACTGCATCTATGTTATTGGCCTTGAGACTTCCATACAGATGAGCATTTGTGAATCTCTCAAAAGCAAATTTTGTTGGACAGTGTTTTTTGGACAGGTACAATGTTTAAATGTTTCCACTGTGCAAATAGTAGTTTTGATTTATTGTTAAGAATGAAACTTGAAACATATCTGTGGGGAAAAAAAAAGTTTTAGCAGATGTAGAATGTGGATTAAGAAAAAAACACGAACTTTTAAATTCTTCCAAAGTCTGGATTATTTAAAATAGTAATTGTAGTGGGCTTTTCAATGGTGTCAGATGGATTTTTATATGTACTTCAGTGTTCACGTTTTCTTAGTAACCAAAGAATTGTGCCCACAAAAGTTAACCTAATGTCTTTGAAGATCCAAAATTCTGCTCATGACCTTCACACTACAGAAAAAACCTTCTATAGTTGTGTTCAAAGAAAAACTGTTGTTACCTTTAAGGCATAACAAACAAATTATTTAAAAGGAACCTTTTCAAGACTTCATATACTTCCTAGGAGATACTGAGATTATTTTTATTTCCTTTTGCAGATATTAATGTATTAATGAAACAGGCAAGATTTTAAGCTCTGCTGGTGGTTAGAAAATTTTAATAATTAAGGTTATCTGTAAGCCTTTGAAGACAATTTTATTGAACAAAACGTATGTTTTTTAACATGCCTGATTTAAGTGTTTGGTTATCTTATTTTTTAAAATTAAAGCACTGGTAAGAACTATGGTAAATCACAATGTCCATTCAAGTTACCTGTTTCAAAAGTGCAAGTGAAAAATATATTGTAGTAGCACACAGATTGCATTTTGTGCCAGTGGAATGTATTGGTTTAGCATATTGTCTAGCAAGAGTGCTATCTCATTTCATGGGATAGTTCATACACTGCTGAGATGGTGATGCGGGCTTGTAAAACCGAGGTGAGACTTGGAAGGGCCCAGCAGTTTTGCAAATCAGGCAGTTGCCAAAATAGTATTGTTCCTAGTTTTAGAATTTAGTTTGAAGCTGATACTTTCAGTAGCAGAGATATTAAAATTTCATATTGCAGGCTCAGGTTAAGGAAAGTTTTTTTATTTTGTTCTCGTTTTGCAGTTGCATTTTGTGTACTTTATGGCATCATAATCTAGGTAATCATTTACTTTTATATCTTCAACGCAAAAATAAATTACCATCAAGTTCAAAGACGAGATGATAAGAGTAGATTTTAATGACATTATTGTACTTAAAAGGGAAGGTTTATAATCTGTTGTTGGTCCCCTTGTCGTAGAATGGTGTGAGTTGGAAGGGACGTTCAAAATCGTCTTGTTCCAACCCCCATAC